ACCAAGAGATGCGGGCTAACTTTAAAAATACATAAACTGCAGGCGAGTGAAGATAAAGATAATGCAAGCAGAGGGCAGAAAATGGGACAGGTCAGCAGACAGAGAACTTAATTTAAGGAGCTAGCAACGCTGAGGTCAGGGATGCAGTTTAAGGAGCTAACAACACTGCTGAGCTCAAGGATACAGTTTAAGGAGCTAGCAACACTGGTGAGCTCAAGGATACAGTTTAAGGCGCTAGCAACGCTGCTGAGGTCAAGGATACAGTTTGTTAGACCATAAAATCAATGGTAAGCATGGGAAGGGGTTGGATTTGGGTAAGATAAAGCAGTGAAAAAAGGTGTGAATAGACAGGAAGAGAGCCAGGCTATTGCTATCTTCAGCCAGCAGGTCTTAGCCCTTACAACCTGGCCAGTCAAGCACTTCCTGCACGAATTGATTCAGTTACCCCTTATAAACATCTACTTTTGTTCCAGTAATATTTCTTATACCTACCAGGCTAGCACCAGACAAGCCTGGCCCACGGCCGGGCTCCGAGAGTAATAAGACTCTCGAAACTCATCAAAGGTACTAGAAAATAGACTCAACTCATCAAAGATATCAAAAGGTACACAAAAGGTAGGGCCACCCTGGCTGGGTGGGAGACGACTGATATGTTAATAAAAAAATAAAACAAAAAGGTGTAAGTGCCGTGGCCACAGGACGTTGACACGAGAGTTGGTCTGGTAAGTCCCATGACGACAGAAATCAACTTTTCGGTTTTCTAAACCACTTATCACACAGAAATCAGTACTGTCGATCAAAACAGCCCAGGAAGCAGGGCCAGGAACGGATACTCGGCCCACGCAAAAACAATTCGGCATTCTATAACTAAATTTGCATGAGTGCAAAGTACGGAATTTTACAACTGGTAACATAATTCAATAAAAGGACGCAATTGTGTTGAAGAGGTTGCAAAACCGACTAGCTGATCAAGACAGAATTGCAGGATGGAAACCTTTACTCACCTACACTTACCATGTGCTCTCTAAAAATGCTTCGTCTCCAATAAAAGTTTCCATTCTGCAAGTGTCTTGACCAAGGATGCCAATGGTTGAAAATTAAGAAATATAAAAACAGCCCACCTTTTCCCCTCTCTTTGGGCAACAAGAATGGCGGGCGCACGGTATTGTTTTTCAATATGCGGCAGAAAGTGGAGGAAGAAAGTAATTCTTGGGTGTACCGAGGAGGAAGGAGAAAGTACCATCACTTACCCTAGTGCCACTCATGGCATCGGTAGTTACCAATGAAGAGTCTGGCCATTGCATGTGTGTGTGTGTGTGTGTGTGTGTGTGTGTGTGTGTGTGTGTGTGTGTGTGTGTGTGTGTGTGTGTGTGTGTGTAGTGCCGTGGCTTTTGGTCCTGCTCCTTAAAGGTTCATATATGGACATCACTGGTTTCTGGCTCTGGAGCCTAAGCATGTCTACATACTCTTAAAATTATGTTATAAAGTTCACCTTCACAACCTCCACATTTAGTTTATTTCATTTCCTGTACTACCTTCAGACTGAAAAAGAGTACTTCTAACATCTCTATAGTTAAATCTGTGCTTTTAACTATAACTTTGTGCATACCGGTCCTCGCACAGTGTAAAAATATGTCAGAATGTTTGTGTGTATTCACCTCAATAATAAAGTAAACATGTTTCTTTCTCTCCTGTCTTCTTTTCTTCCCCATTCTTCACTTTTCCATTCCTTGTTTTCCCCTCTTCCCTTTTCATCCCTTCTCTCCCTTCCCTTCTACTTTCCCTGTTTTGCGTCTCCACCTCTCCCTCGCCTCCCTGATTCTTCTACCTTTCCGGTATCGAGAAACACTAACCAATGTCTCAGATTCGTATGTTAATTTTCCCCCATAACACGGCATGGGAGGCTGCATCTCGCAACCAGCCTCAGTTTCTGCTGCAGTTTTGACTCTTACTGCCGTAACATAAGCAGGCTTGAGGAGCTCTCACACTTTCACTTATCTAAAGAAAATCTTAAATAACGCATGCATTTTGTTTTACACTGGGCCCGCTGTCTATGCTTCGTAACTACGTTTGGGACCAAACCTCCTGGTTACTGGTCTAATCACTCAGGTTTTTGGGATTAGCAGCCCGCAATTCTTCCACTTGCAACATCCTTTTGAAGAATATAAGAATAAAGGATCGTTACATTAGGCTTGGCCCATGCTAGGCAGGTCCTACCCACATCCAACCACTCCTAAAAACAAAACAAAACAAAAAAAGAACAATACCGTGACTGGAACGATACACAAATAACCCGCACATAGAGAGGAGCTAACGACGACGTTTCGGTCCGACTTGGACCATTTACAAAATCGGACCAAAACGTTGTCTTAGCTTCTAAAGTTGTCCAAAGTAATCGCTACTCTGACGTTACTTGGAACAGTTTGTTCCACTCATTCATATAACTACTGCCAAACAAATGCCATCAATTATTATTATTCAGACATAATTAAGAGACAGCTAGGATAAATCTGGGGGCTTTCCTTTGGTCTCCCAGACAGGCGATCTTAACAATGCAAGACAAGCCACGGGGGAAAGGGGTCTTTGTAGGATCGCTGGCTCAGTGGTAAGGTGATTTGGTAAATGATTCAAAATCACTTGTTTCGAGACGTAGATGGGTAAGAAACATGTGCATTACTCTTGTATCTTCATTAGAGATATATAAAGGAGACAGAAGTCATGGAACATAAGAAAGACAGAACACTGCTGTAGGCCTACTGGCCCATAGTTGGCAAGTCCTTGCCAAAACCAAACCACTAAAAAAAAAAAAAAAAAAAAAAAAAAAAAAAAAAAAAAAAAAAAAAAAAAAAAAAAAAAAAAAAAAATCGCCCAACCCATTATCAATATTCCTCAATGAATAAGCTTTGCTAATCTTATTAACTCAAATATAAGTGACGTCCTAATGCTCCAGAAAGCATAAGATAAACATCAAAAGTAAACTGCAACATTTGTTAAATATTTTGCATTTGGCCTGCAATGTATATTGTTTATTTATTTGTTTTATTATAAACCATAAATTTTTTACTGAAAAATGCAGCAATACATAGGTGTCCAGGGATTTTGTTACCCCTTAAAGCTTATGGAACAAGAGAAATATATAAATTAAAGACACATGGGCAACACTCGTTTATCTTTATTGTGGAAACGTTTCGCCGCACAGTGCCTTCATCAGTTCAATATACAAAGACGACTGGTTGAAGATCAGGAGTTTGAGGTAATCATTCCCTCAGCCTGGAGTCGATGTAATCAGTCCATCATTCTTTTCAAGAATATTCATTATTTTCAAAAATAATGGACTGATTTCATCTACTCCAGGCTCAGGGACTGATTACCTAAAACTTCTGATCTTCAACCATTCTTCTTTGTATGGACTGATGAAGCCATTGTGTGGCAAAACGTTTCCACAATAAAGTTACCCAAGTGCTGCACATGTGTCTAATTTGTCAACTTGTTGGTTCTCTGAACCAGGCCGGGTATACCTGGAGAGGGTTTCGGGGGTCATCGCCCCTGTGGCCCGGTCCGTAACCAGGCCTCCAAAAATCGAGCGATGTAAAATCAATAACAGTATTCTTTTAACCACTTGCATTATTTAAATTAAGAGCATAAGAACAGAGAAGCACTGCTGTTGGCCTACTGGGTAAACCACATTCTCCCAAGAGAATTTTATTTATTTTATTACAATTAAAGACCGAGTTAAAAGCGACTTGTATTACATTGTCAGAATATACTTGTCCATGAAGTATTTTGCAGTCTTATGCAGTGCCTCATTAACTGGGCTTACATTACCTTACCTTTGAAGAGTTTCACTACTCTCGGAGCCCGGGCATGGGCCTATCTCGTCTGATGCTTGCCTGGTCAACCAGGCTGTTGCTGCTAGAGGCCCGCTGCCCCACATATCCATCACAGCCTGGTTGATCTGGCACCTGTTGAAGATACTTGTCCAGTTTCCTCTTGAAGGCTTCTACACTGGTTCCAGCAGTGTTTCTGATACCTTCTGGTAGGATGTTGAATAGTCTGGGACCCCGGATGTTGATACAGTGTTCCATTATTGTGCCCACCGCACCCCTGCTCCTCACTGGGTTTATTTTACACTTCCTCCCATATCTCTCACTCTCAGTATGTTGTTATGGCAGTGTGCAAATTTGGGACCAAGCCCTCGAGTACCTTCCAGGTACATATTATCATGTACCTCTCTCTCCTCCGCTCCAATGAGTACATGTTCAAGACTTGCAGGCGTCCCCAGTAGTTTAGGTGCTTTACAGGCTCAATGTGAGCCGTAAACGATCTCTGTATTTGTTCCAGTTCAGATATTTCTCCTGCCTTGAACGGGACCGTCAGCATTGAGCAATATTCTAAATGAGGGAGCACTAGTGATTTGGAGTCACCATAGGCATTATTTCCCTTGTTTTGAAAGTTTTCAACATCCACCCAGTCATCTTCCTGGCTGTTGTGATCTTTGTCTTGTTATGGTCTTTAAAAGAAAGGTCCGCTGACATAATTATTCCCAGGTCTTTTACGTAGTGCTTATGGACAAAATGAACACAAATGCAGTATAATGTGATCCTTTACTGACTACGTTTGGCCCACACAGTGGACTTTATCAAGTCACAAGGCCACATTTACTGTATTTGTATTAATTTTTTCCATCGTGACGGTAGTTTATACCTTTCATCTCTATGGTGCTTATGTTGGACTTCGTATGGCCAGCACTAACAGCCTGGCTGGTCAATTCCTGCATTGCGAGGCCTTGTCTGGGCCCAGGCCCCAGGGAAGCGCGTTGACCCTCGGAACACATTTCAGGTGACCTCCAGGTTGAACGATACTTTGGCACATCCCTACTCGGAATACTTATTCTCGCATCCAGGCCTGGGTAAAGATTTTGCTGTTGACTTGTTTGATCAAGCAGGCTGTTGCTGTTCCCGGATAATCCGCTGATTAATGCAGTTTAGCTTCTAACTCACCTGAACTGAGCGGCATGATGTTTCTCTTGGCACAGATGGAAGACCGGCGTGATGTTAACAAGGCTGGCACTAGTTATCCCACCTCGATCACAACATCACAATCTGCAACATAAACAAGACTGAGTTACCACGTGTTATAATGGAGGATCATCGCCCCCGCGACACGCTCTTATATCACCACCCAAATTGGAAAAGAAATATTTAACCGTCATCTCATATATGATAAAGTATAAGGAAGAATAATATAACAAGAGAAAAATATGTAATCTAAGACAAAATAATACATTATATAAGAGAAAACACAAGCAACTCGTACATAGGACAGAAAGCCTCACTACGACGTTTCGGTCCGACTTGTGAATGGTCCAAGTCGGACCGAAACGGCGTCCTATCTGCAAGATATTCGTACATTGTTCCAGTCACGGTATTGTGCCTTTTCGTTCTTCATTATAAGACTAAATAATACATTATAAGACAAAATATCTTCAGACAAAATTAAAACCAAACTTGACCCACAGTCACATTAAAAGGAAAACGAGCCTAAAATCCATAATACAGTAGATGCAAAAATATAATACGTGGTCCACGACCACGAGGTCTGGTCGTGGACCGGGCCGCGGGGGCACTGATCCCCGGAATGCCTTCCAGGTAGCAGGTACATCTTATCAGATGTTTATAAAGTACCAGGTAGATTATGTATATATATCGTATGTTGTTGTGCCTGTCTACCTTTAAGTCAATCCCGGGGATCAAGAGCGATTCACTATCCCAGTTTCCTGTCAGCCATGATAACACACATACACACAGAGGGATGTTAGGAAGCATTTCTTCACAGTGTTGTCAGGAAGTGGAACAATCTGGAGTGATGTAGTGGAGGCAGGATCCATACACAGCTTTAAGAAGAAATGCGATAAAGTTCATGGAGCAGGGAGTGGACCAAGTAGCCGTCAGCGAAGAGGCGGAGCCTAGAGCTGTATCTCGACCCCTACAACAACAAATAGGTGAGTACACATACGCGCGCGCGCACACACACACACACACACACACACACACACACACACACACACACACACACACACACACACACACGCGCGCGCGCGCGCATCTGTTGTAGATTCCGGGGATGGGAGGGGGAGTCATTGCTCCCGCGACTGGATCTTAGAGGATGTCCTAGAGATGAAAACCCTATCAATCAGAATGCTGGTGCTAGCATCATGCAGTCTAGCGCAGGCACCACAACACGGCTGATCAGGAACTGGCTCAACAATATTATCAAAGTTTTCTCGTGAGGGATTAAACAAGTTTTAATATTAAGGTGACACTCGCGACGTAAAACCTCTGCACGAAGCCTAAATTATGAGACGTTAAAATATGGAAAGTAAATCAAACTAACGCCTTAATACTGTATAATTTGGAGGCGAAATTTTTCAACTTGTCAGTGATTCTTCAGAATCTGTTAAAAAATGAGATATTCTAAAAGTTTCTTGATCCAAGGGACTGAGGCCGCCCATCCCTACCTCAGATCAAACCTACCTCCTGACTCACGAAATAGTAATAACACGACTACAAACAGACCACGGAACGGGTGAGGTTTGAATCCTGGCGAGTGAGTCGTAAAACTACCTTCTACAGCACATGCATTGTATGACCCACCCTAAAGAGTTTAGTGCTTCCCCGTGAATATAATACCAATATAAACGACTTATCAGCCATAAACCCAGCATTATCTTATCACGGGAAAACTGTGTGACCAGATAACTTGATAACCAAATAATCTACGATAAAGATAAATGAACATTACATTTCCCACACAGTCCGAAAGCTCATGTCTACCCCTGACCAGCATCACTAAATGTGATGCAGATGGTTTAGAAAACCGACAAGTTAAAGAATGAGACACTTGTGCATCATGTGGGAATCTTTATAGGGGAAACGTTTCGCCAGTCAGTGGCTTCTTCAGTCCAGTACAGAGAACGGTGGAAGATGAGAAGGAGTTTGAGTTAATCCGTCCCTCAACCCGGGCCGAAGGGAAGGAGATAAACCCCTGGAATTGTCTATTTAAGGTAAACACTTCCTCTGGGTTTACTTGTACTTTAACTGTAGTCTCCCAGTAGTCCCCAGTGCCACCTCTGGCAAGGAGGGAGACACTCACCTCGCTTAATTAACTGGAAAATACAGGCTCGATGTTAGCTTTATAGGACTGGTGGTAATATCAAGTGACAGTCTCTTGCTAACACAGACATGGCACTTGTGATAACATCCACCAGCGGTACAACCTTGTTATCAGTCGTGGCGTCTCCAAGCCCCGGGTGATTAACATACTTCGTGTTGTTTACAAAAACACTTGTCAACATGGCTGACCAGGTTACGTTCAAAAAGTTTTACCTTTGGCTGATTTCCATGTTTTTCCACCAACGCAGTTTGCCTGAGGCCATGCTTCTTGTTGACTGCCTGTACAACCGGTCCGTTACCGTCAGCAGACCACTGACCCACAACGTCATCACTTGTCTGATCTGGCATTAAGTGGAGATGATAGTCAGGTTTCCTCTTGACCTGAAGAACCTGAGGGTGAATTTCCAAACAAGATTGCAGAGTGGCAAGACAGGTAATACAGCGTCTACCGCCACTGATTTATTATGCAGAGGACTTCGTCTTGACTTATGTTTATTTATCTACAAGGCGAAGCGTAGTCAATAAAAGATTGCATTATACTGCATTTGTGTTTATTTTTTCATCCTTGAAGACACCTTGTGGTCTGTTGGTAATTCCCTTATGTATGAAGGGAGTGTGTTGAAGATGTTGGTCCCTTTACCCTTGAATGTACTCACTGCACCCCTTCTTTTCGCTTAAGATATCTTGCACCGTCTGCCAAGCTTCATGATCTCTTAGGGAGAAATTTCGGTATGCAGATTTGGGACCATACATACAGAATTTTCCAGGTGTAAATTACAATGCATCTTTTTTTGCCTTCGTTCCAGCACGTAAAGTTCGAGGAACTTCAGGCGATCTCAGTAACTTCGGTAATTGACAATTTATACGAGGGGTGGAGATTCTTTGCACATTCTCCTGTCTACGCTTTCGCCTGCTTTAAATAGTGCCGTTTATGTACAGAAATATTCCAGTACAGAGAGCACAAGTAACTTAAAAAGGTAATCATCACTGCCAATGAGGCTACCTATAAATTCCCTATCATATGTAATAGCAACACTGCTGTGATCCTTGAAAATAAGAGCAGACATAATCATTCCTTAATTCTTCATATTCCTCTTCCGCTCTATTGAGTGGTTTGAGTATACTTTATACTCTGTTTTAGGTTTTATTTCAATTATTCCACAGTGGAGTAACTGAAATATGTGTTCACTGATCACCATATTGTTTTCTGTGGCTCACCAAAAGCTTGGAGATCAGTCGTGTCGTCAGGGAATAAAACGCTCATACAAATTCTAATATCGTCTGAGAAAGACGAAACAGTACTATGATTTATGTCTGTGTGGGATATGAAGATGGGAACGAGTTCTGTGCCCCGAGGAACTGTGTCAGCCTCTGATTTAAATTTGCTGACTAATACTTTTTGAGTACATTAGTTAGAAAAATTAAAAAAATCATTTTCCCACTGTTCCAGTTGTTTCTTTTTGCACGCATTTTATGTCCCAATGCACAATGACCACACTTTTATCGGACAGGTTCCTGGTGCTTGCGTCTTGCAGTCTGATGTAGATACCAAAGTTATGATCAGGAACTTTATAAGTTTCCTATTGATGATTGGTGTCTACTAGTTATTTCCTTTAAATTTAAATGGTATATTGTTGAAAAAGACTTAGACTAAGTTATTTATGCTTATTTATTTATCCCTTATAGAAACAGACACTCAGGAGACTGATAGATCTGTATATTTCGAACTCCTTCTGGGATCCTCCCCAGAAGGGGGCCGAAATATACAGATCAATCAATCTCCTGAGATTATCTCCATGTGGGTTACTATTAAGCATTGGCAAGTGTTCATTACACTTAAGTTATTCATTTATCCCTTAGTCTGTATGCTGCCCTTCAGTTTTTTAACGAGGTGTCTTGCACCGTCTGCATTCCTCCCGTTCTCTTAGGAAGATATTTTAATATATGCAGATTTGAAACACGTCCCTCCAGTATTTTTCAAGTGTAATAAAATAATTATTTCTCGCCATTTCATTTTGACTGAAAGCATTCCATAAGCTCATCATACAAACATTAATAGCCTAATTGATCAAGTCGTTAACCAAGAGGACTGGTTTTAAATCGAGTCGAGAGAGCAGTAACCCCAGGAGTTGCTGCAGTCAGTTAACTAGTGTAAGATTACAACACGACGCGTTAATATGAGTTTACCATGGATTACACACACACACACACACACACACACACACACACGCACACACACACACACACACGCACGCACACGCACACACGCACACACGCACACACGCACACACGCACACACGCACACACACACACAATCCACACCTAGCAGAGCACATAAGGAAACTAGAGAAAGTGCAAAAGTTTGCAACAAGACTAGTCCCGGAGGTAAGGGGCATGTCCTACGAGGAGAGGTTAAGGGAAATCGACCTGATGACACTGGAGGACAGGAGAGGGAGGATATGATAACGACATACAAAATACTGAGAGGAATCGACAAGGTGGACAGAGACAGGATGTTCCAGAAATGGGACACAGCAACAAGGGGTCACAGTTGGAAGTTGAAGACTCCGATGAATCACAGGGATGTTAGGAAGTATTTCTTCAGTCACAGAGATGCCAGGAAGTGGAATAGTCTGGGAAGTGATGTAGTGGAAGCAGGATCCATACACAGCTTTAAAAAGAGGTATGACACAGCTCATGGAGCAGGACGAGTGACCTAGTAGCGGCCAGTGAAGAGGAGGGGCCAGGTGACTCGACCCCTGCAACCACAACTAGGTAAGTACACACACACACATTATATAATATATATATATATATATATATATATATATATATATATATATATATATATATATAATATATAATATCGAGAGTAATATTTAAGAACCTCTTTCCCTTTCAGTTTAATCCTTTTATTAATAACGGCATGC